CAACCAGACAGCTTTCTCCTCATAAATCTCAATCTTATGGTTTTGATTTCCTCTAGCCTTTTAAAGGCTTTTTTAGATTTGCGTGAACATAAAAACAAACGTTTCTTGGAGCGGTACGAGTTAAAAATACTAATCCGTTATTTTTTATCAATTACAAAACATCTAAAAACCCGATTAAAAGCAGCCGGTCTAAAAAGTGTCCCCTCAGGAGGTTATAACATTTGATTATAAATATAAATTTATTCCTTTAATGACTAAATACCATTGATCCTGATTGTGTGGATTTACCAAACAAGTGAATAAATCTTACTGAAACTATTATGACCCAAAAGAGGAAATAAAGGTTTCATGTTATGGTAAAAATGTACATAATATAATTTTTTAATAATAGCTTATTGTGTTCACACAACAACAGGCAAATACAAATACTTGTAAGATAATTAGAATAAGTTCATTTTAACTTTGTGTCTTTATTTGGATCCACATTACCCATTGCTAATGCTCTACAGGGTCGACAAACAAACAAAAAACATTTATTACAAAAACAGTTACAGCATTATTATAGCATTAGTAACATAATTCATAAATGTAAATCTGTAACATTTTATATGACAAAGTAATTAAGCAAAGCTCTTTTAAAAGCTTGAAAGCATTTGTTTTATTTGAAAAAAAGATGAAGGAAGGGAATTTCTCATTTCTCTAAAAATAACAGTTTTTTGTCCGACATTCCTATTAAAGCATGCCATGTGTCGAACATATGTACAGTGTCTGAATAAAAAWTGATTATATAAAACAGTTRGCATCTTTAGATATTACAATGTTTTTATAAAAGCTTAAAAGGGCAGCATCAACCTTATTTTAAGGGCCGACCTCTGCGCATATTTAAGGATCAAATCAAGACGYGCTGCCTTACTAAGCTTGTTTTTAGTGAATGTTTGGCTCAAATTAAAGACGTTCTTTTCAGTTTTGATTGAGAACGGGACAAAAAGCTTAATTTAAGGGCAGGTGATGGTTTTATGTGTATAAAAACACAGAACACATAAAAAACTGGACTGGTGTGGTACTAAAAAGTGAACTGTTCTGGTCACATCATCAGTAAAATTAAATAAAAAAGGCCTCAGCTCACACAGTCAGAGTTGTTAAATTGACGTTTAAGTGCCCCCGCTCATGGCCCCCCCAGTGAAAGGTTTTTGGACACGCCCCTGGTTTTAAGGCTAAATAACTCTGAACCCTTGAGAAATTTCTTGACAAAAACTGTAAAACTACGTTCTGTTTCAGAGGAAGTTTGCATCAGTTTGTTGAAGACTCCTCATGTTTCCGTGCAGCTGATCCACGACTCTAGACGTGGTTTTTGTTTTGTTTTTTTTGTTTCTGGTTGAAGGCGCCGGTTTGCAGCTTTGCCCTCAGAAGTTTGTTTCTGTGGGAACCGGCAGCACGCTCCGGTGCTCGGCGGCTGTTTCAACACGTCTCTGAGAGAAGGAACAAAAGATGTGAGGAGAGGAAGCAKGAGACAAAGGTGAGAAGAACCTGCCTCCTTTTCATCCTCCGAGCTACAAACAACCAGCAGCTCAGATGACTCAGGTTCAGCTTGTCTTTTTCTTCTCTGATCCATCAGCGACCAGCAGGATGTTCTCTGCAGAACCCAGCGAACCCTCCTCTTCTGCTCTTCAGGTCAGCTGCTTCTCAACTTTGGCTTTTTATGATGGGCTGAAATCAMTAAGTCAAACTTTGGTCTGTTTTGAGGTTTGAAGACTATTTATAGGGATTAAGTTCAAGATTTTACTTTAAATATAAACATTTTAATAAATGTTTGATTCCATTTAATTATTTTTATTGTTTGCTTTTTTGTTGTTGTTGTTGAAAATTTTTGTTCAGCAGCAACAAAAGTT